AGCTGATAATATTCTGAGCCTAATAAGCTTGGAATTAACTCTTGAGGCTTAAGAAGCTTAAAGTTAAAAATTCAAAAAGAAAAATTCTGAATTCATAATATTTTGAGCCTAAGAAGCTCAGAATTAACTATTGAGATTTAAGAAGCTCAAAGTTTAAATTCAGAAAGAAAATTTCAAGCTCATAATATTCTAAGCCTATGAAGCTTAGAATTAACTATTGTAGTTTAAGAAGCTCAAAGTTAAAAATTCAAAAAGAAAATTTCAAGCTCATAATATTCTTTGTCTAAGAAGCTCAAAGTTAAAATTTAGAAAGAAAATTCCGAGCTCAAATATTATGAGCCTATGAAGCTTAGAATTAACAATTGATGCTTAAGAAATTCAAAGTTAAAAATTCAGGAAGAAAAATTCCAAGCTCATGATATTCTAAGCCTAAGAAGCTTAGAATTAACTATTGAGGCTTAAGAAACTCAAAGTTAGAAATTCAAAAAGAAAAATTTCGGGCTCATAATATTCTAAGCCTCAGAAGCTAAAAATTAACTATTGAGGCTTAAGAAGCTTAAAGTTAAAAATTCAAAAAGAAAATTCCGATCTCATAATATTCTGATCCTAAGAAGTTTAAAGTCAAAATTAACTATTGAGGCTTAAGAAACTTAAAGTTAAAAATTCAAAAAGACTGAAAAGAGCTCGAACATGAATGATTGGAACTTATCAGGGGACTTTTGATACACTAACAAATAAATCAAAGGTATTAAATATATTTCATATAGAGAATTACACCGAGTGTTATAAATCAATAAAGAATTTATAACGTTCAGTCAAAGAAAGCATTTAAAAGAAATTCATTCAGTACTTAATAGATTTGTCTCCCACTCGAAATGGGACGACTACTACTTTGTCTACCTTATAAATATATGCCTTTATACTACTATTAGAAAGGAGAGAAAACATTCTATCAATACATTCTAAGTAAGAAGCTTAGCTAGAGAAGGATACACATCTCACTTCTTCTTCTCCATGGAACTCATCTAATCCATCACTATATCAAGTTTGTCACTTCTTCAACTCACACACTCTAAGCTCTCTCTCACAATATTTGGTGTTCATGCTAAGAAATAGCTCAATCTCTTCATTTGCCAAGTAAGAAAATAACAAGAAATCCCAAAAAATTGAAACGATGAAGAAGACTCTCATTTTCTCCTCCTTTTTGGCGCGTTAAGGGCAGAAAACATGAAGAAGATTATGCTTTTCTACATAAATGATAAGCTTAATTTGATAGTTAGCTTTTGATGGATTCCACACAACTTTATGATTAATATATCCTTATCATGACTAAACAAATTAATTTATTTTTCCCATATTTATAAATCTAATTAACTATTTTTCACTTTATGATTAATAATTAATTTGGGAAGAGGGAGGTGATAATTACATTTTTATGCTTATAAGTAATTATTTTGCTTTGTGAGGTGTCATATACACTTTAATTGTATCAATCATATTTTCGTAGTCAACTTTGATATAAATTAATCACTTTTCATAATTATACTTTCACAAATAAACTATCATTCTTTTTCCACTTTAATGCATGTCCCGTGTATTCTTTGCCACACATAACTACACACCACTAGCTATAACAAACTCCCAACACATATGCATACATCTCGACAGCCCAAGATCTTCTATTAGAATGTCCGGATTGTCATAAGATTTAAGATTTTCATCCTCGTTTACTCAAGGAATGAATCACATCTTGGCTAATCACTTAGCTTTGTATATAACTAGTCCCTAATTTGCGTTTCGCACGCGGGTATTAATATGTTGTTTGAAAAATAATTATTATTGAATGATATTTTGTAACATTTTTATTTGCATTTTTTATTAAATTCAAGAATAAAAATTATTAAAATAAATTATTTCATATATTTTAATTCAAAAAAATTTCATTTCATTTTTAATGAGTATATATTGTTAAAACTAAATTCAAAGTAAAATTAAATATAAAAATATAAATATTTCTATTAAATAGGAAATATAAATATTTTTACTAATTATTATTAATTATTTTACTATCTAGTTTTTTCATTAAATTGTCTCTTCTTAATTATTTTTATATTTCCCGTGTTAATTATTAAATAAATATTATTTTAAAAAGATAGAAAATAATTTTTTTATAAACTTCATATTGAATTATATATAATATCAATTTTAATATTTGATAATTTATAATTAATATGATTAGATTTCAAAAGTATATTATTACATATAAAAAAAGAAAAATAAAAGACCAAACAAACGAATATATTCTCCTGCTGCCTGCACAGATTGAAGTAAATAAATATATATAAAAAAAAAAAAAAATGGAGGAAGAGAAAATAATGGCAAAAAGCTTGAACATTTACCGGTTTGGATGTGAGTGCGAAAAAAAAAGAAAGGAACAAAAAATAATGAACAATTACCAGTTTGAATATGGCAGCCAAAGAACAATAGGAACCGAAAATAATGCTAAAAAGCTTGAACATTGCTCCGCTCAATTCTGCTATCAAAAATAGATATATATAGATATATAGAGATGTTGAAAGAAGAGTTTGAAACATTTTGAATTCCTTTCTCATTTTATCAATTTGTTAAAAAGTTCAAAATTTTTACGTTTTTAAATAATAAATAAAAATTTTTTACGATGCATAGAGCAATATCAAAAGACGAAATAATCTTTTATAACATCATTTAAAAATAATAAAATTGTATAATAAATGGTTGCAAAATGCATTATAAAATTGTATATCATTGAGATATACTGAAAAATTGCAATGCTAAAATGTGTCTTTTTAAGTATTTGTAACGTCTTTTATCAAGGCATATCCAATAGCAATGCACACACATCATTCCTTCAAATAATAGTAAGACTTATAATAGAATCATTTCTCATTTTTATTTTCGACCCATCTTAATATACAATTTTCGTAAAAATTTGATATTATACTTGTATAAAGAAAAGTTGTATTTTTAATATAATATATATATACACACACATTGATATACACAACTAACAAATTACTCGCATGAAATTTTGTTTTTTGTTTTTTCATTCCCATTTATGCTTCTAACATTTATCATTTTATAATCCAAAATATTGTCAAGTGAAAAATTGTGCTACTTTAACTTGGCTTCCATTTAAAGCAAAGGACTCTCTTTTTATATATTATATAGATTGAATAATTGTTCATATACAAATACGTAATACATATATTAAACCAGTACCAAATCTTAATCCGCTTATATGCTACATACAATAGCATCTTAAATCTAAAGATTATTAATTATCATCTATGTCTCTTGTCTTTATAAGTGGCTACATGTTAATTCCGATTCAAATCAAATAGGATGAGACTTGCTACGAATAAGAAATGAAGATGATGGTCTTCCTCAAAATTAACGGCTAATTGATTGTCCTACTAACATGAACAGTTTTTGCAGTACTCAGTGTTAGAGAATATGAGGCAATATCGACAATCACATGAATAAATTTTTTAACCTTAGTTTTGTTTTGAGCTGTCACTGTTTATCAGCGATAGCCCCTACCTTCTACTTTTCTTTGCACTTCACCTCATTTTGCTTTTAATTTTTTATTCACTCTAATAAACTCATATCTGTTTTTCCTTCAACAAATCTGTCTCTTTTTTTATTTTGTTATTATTATTGTTATTATTATTTTGTCTCCATATTTGGAGTTTCTATGTACATTCTTTATGAGGGTTGCTAATTAAAATAATATAATATTTGACTTTATGTAGTTAGAAATTTTAGATCTTGATTTACAGGTATATATTTTCAATCAATGGAATTTCATAATGTGGTCTTTCCTCTATTGATACTATTAATGCATCGTGACATAAACTTATCTGTGTTCATCATATGTTATAAATTCTTGGAAAAACAATTCAGGTATAGAAGATCTAGAAGAGTCATTATTTTGTAGTTCAAATCAATAAATGGACTAGTTGTTGCTATGAAGATTTATATCTTTTATCAAAATCAATCCTAAGTGGAAAGATATAATGTTATATTTTTTTAATTTGAGTTTCATTATGCAAAAGAATATGAATTCTTTTGGTTTGTTTAAAGATCAACGAATTTTATTAGCTATTGATAGTATAATTCTATATCTGATCTATACGAGTATATGTAATTCTTAATATTATTATTAATAAAGTATATATTCAATATAGAGTCATTTATTGTTGTAAGTTCAAAATCGATAAATGCGAACTAGTTGTTGCTATGAAGATATTTAATTATCTTTTTTATCAAAAATCAAAATCCTAAGTGGAAAGATATAATGTTAATAGTTTGTTTCTTTAATTGAGTTTCCATTATGCAAAAGATATGAAAAATTCTTTTGGTGTTGTTTAATAGATCAACGAAATTTTATTAGCTATTGAAATATATAACGATTCTATATCTGATCTACTAGCGAGTACTATGTAATTCTTAATATTCCATTATTAATAAGTATTACAGTATTCAATATGATAATATACTAGATAGTATATATATATATATAAATAGTATATATATATATATATATATATATATTTTGCCACTAAAGATATACAATTTATATATACATCTATATATATATATATATTTTGCCACTAAAGGATATAAATTTATATATACATCTATATATTACGAGTATGGTCGAGCTAAATTAAGTTAACTAATTCAGTTTGATTTCGATTCAAATACAGAAAATTTGAATGTTTTTGTTCGATGCAATTCTATTCAATTTATTTTACAAAATCTGAAAATCTAAAAACTAAATTGATTTAATTTAAAAGTTAATTATGCAATTTAATATTTAGTTCAATTCTATTTTTTTAAAAAATAATTTATTTAGTTTATATTAATTTGATTTGGTTTGATCGGAATATCAATATCTTAATAGAAAAAAAATTGGAGCGTGACATGCACATAAGTTTAAAACGAGTGGAACAACACGGGTTATCCAGTTGAAGAGTCCTTAGAGATTTGAGAAAACTCACTCGAATTGTAGGACTCTCTTGAGACATGAGAAAGGCCGTCGAGTGCTCATCGAATTTTTCCCTGTGATTTAGACAGCAATATTCAATCGGCAATGCAGTGAAGCAAGAACACAGATACGCTCGCTTTCAGGTAACGAAGTTTTTGTATTAAGCTTAGAATTGGCTGAGAGAAATATTGCTAAATGCAGCTTTCCATAGATCTTGCAAGCTTCTTATCTATTCTTTTTCTTAATTATCGCTTTTGTTTTTGTCTTTCCTCTTTTCTTTTTTGAATTTGTCATGTTTGGTTTAGTACAATAATGATATAATCCAGTGTTATGCCCTCTTTCCCTTCGATATCTCAGAGTCTCATTAGGTTTCTCATATGGGTTTTTCTTTTGATCTATTTTGCACTCAATAATTGGTTTTCTTTGATGGGTTTAGCCTTTCTACAGCGATATTTTTCAATGCCCATAGTTCTTTCATTTTTTCTGGCTTTTATTAACAATTTTTACTTTTCTCTCACTCTCTCTTTTGAATTGCGGCTACTGAAACCACATTTCATTTATGCTATGTAGTTATGTTCACCTATTCTGTGCTCTGATTTCAAATATTCTTCCTTCATTGCTGTAATGTTCCAATTTTTGCTATTTTAATGTGTATATGCTAAATGTTGTGATTCTTTGAATTATTTTGTTCTAGTGCTTGCTGAATTGCTAACTGAGTTTCAAGTACTTTGTGCTCTATAGTTCATGCATGATTTGATTCCTGAAATTTCCGTTCATTTCTTCATGACTTAACTAGTTTACATTCAAGTTTCAATATTTTCACATGAAGGTTCTGTCTGATCCAGTAATGCACCTGTCTGGTTACTTAAGAATCAATCTGGATTTTAATATATTATAATATTATAGCTGGCTATTTTCTTTTCTTTTCAATCCATCACATAAATTTTGTTTTATTGCAAATTATTACCAGTGAAGCTTTCAGAACAGCTAAGGGGAATATTTTGTCAAACATCCAATAATAGATTTGAAAAGGAAATACTGATCGGTTTTAATGACTACAATATAATTTTAACTCATTTTTATGACTCTGCCAAAAATGCCAAATGGTATTTATTATGTTTTTGCTGTCCATACAGAGTATGGTATTATTTATGTTTCTTTTCAGCTGCTTCGAATCAGCTTCATTGTTAAAGCTTCAATTAACTAGAATATATGATACACCGAAACTTCTAGCCATGGGCGTTTCCGCATGCCCGTTTCCCTATATGAAATACTGTTTTCCATGTAAAATTAAATTTTACATGTCGTTTCCTTGTATCATTTCCACATTTTGACGTTTCCTCATTATACTATAATTCTTCATTTGATTTAAAGTTATGAAACAATTAACCTGAGAATTCAATGAAACTTTTAGTATCCATGAACTTATCCTTTTCAATGTGATTTGCTCAATGTCGTTGACTGAGTATCCTAAAATGGTCAAATGCATACCTTGTAATGCAGAAACCCAGGATTTGAACCCTGGGCAGCCATCTCGCTTTGAACTCTTTCATTTATGCACTGGTTTCCAGGGATTTGCTTCTATCTTGAGTTAAATATCCTGTTCATATGTTGAATATATTCTATTTCTTGTAATGAAGGACGCGTGCATTTATTATGGTTACTCCACTCTCTATACCTCAACAAAATTTATTGATTTTAGATGGTTTGTTTGCTGACATAGATATGAATATCTGTCAAGTACTAGGAATTTGATTTCCACAAGCTGGTGCGTATGCAGTGCTAAGACATATAGTAGTAGATTCCATGATGGGTTCGTATTCCAATAGAAACCATATGATACCAGAAGCTAGTGCAGGGGCATCTGTTCCGCATTTTGCCTGGTTTTATCCAAATGTTTACCCTACACCAAAATCCAGTTCATTTAATTCTCAAGGAATTCCAATTGATGGACAACAAGGTCTTCCTGTGACTCCTATTCGGTCAGTTGCTCCCTCAGCTGAGCCAGCAAAGAATAATAACTCGGGATCTAAACCTGCTAAGACAAAGAAACAGAAACCGTCCATAAAGGTTTCCAACCAAATGCCATCCAGGATTTCGAAGCCAAAGCAACCCAAAAAGTCTTCTCGAAAGAAAGGACAAAGCACGCCTGAAGCAAACCGTGAAAAAAGGAATCTTGATGTTGATATTGATATAAGAAACTTTGACTTTTCTGGGGTGCCTTCTCCATTTTGCTCTTGCACAGGAATGCATAGAGTTTGCTACAAGTGGGGTGCCGGTGGATGGCAATCCTCTTGTTGCACTACTAACATATCTGAATATCCTCTCCCCATGAGTTCTACAAGGGCTGGGGCTCGCATGGCTGGGAGGAAAATGAGTAATGGAGCATATCTGAAACTTCTATTGAGACTGGCAGCTGAAGGTTATGATCTTTCTCATCCAGTTGACTTGAAGAACCACTGGGCTAGACATGGTACCAACAAGTTTGTTACAATCAAGTAGAGGATTGGCAGTTACTGACTATATAAATACCAGTATGTATAATTCCCATCTCTTTTTTACCCCCGTTTTTTCCATTTTCTTTTTCCTGGATAATTAGGTGTAGTCTCTTGCTATATCCAAGGATGCTTCTATGTAGGTTGTAAATATTCCCTAGATATCTAGAACCATTTTCTGGTTTCCTCTAAAGCTGTGTTTTCACAGAGATACTTATAATTCTCAGATCCTTTGCTTATTTTGGCATTTTGTTACTGCTTCTAACATAATATCGGAAGGAAGCTAATGGACTATGTCTATTATGAGGATACATTGTTCTGATGAAGTAATATTGTTGACATATTTTATAAATTTACCCCAGTACTTTTTAAGAAAACATTGTGACGTATTCAACTTTTAATTTGACCGATCGAATACTTCAATTTATAAAAGTGGACATTTTAAACATTTTATTTGGTGCATGAAACACCTCAAGTTATAAAATTAGATAGTATCAACTTAATATTTTGCGTATTAAAACAAAAAATTTTAAATATTGTTGTCTTTAGTCTAAGGAACTACGAGATTATTACAAAAGTGAAGTTTGATTTGTTGATTTTAAATTTTAGTCGTTTCAAAATTTTGTGTAAAAGTTCAAGAGTTAAATTATGTATTGGGTGACATTTTTTTTATGCAAATATGAGACAGAAATGCTACTACAACCAAAAACCAATCCAATGCTGGGTAGATTGGTTAGTTCTTTTCCTTTATTGAGACTTATTTGAGTTGAAGATATGGAAGTTTGTATTGCAAGATATGGTTAAGCAAGTGCAATGATATATTCACAAGTTACGTACGCAAAGGAAATGAAGAAAATGCCAAAAAGTATGAAACGTCTTTTTAACTGAATTGAGTTTGATCTCTGCTTTTTGTGTCTCTATATTACACAAATCTCCACAGAATTACATCATCAAATAGACAAGTGTTTGAAGCATCAAATAATAAAAATAAAATTAGGCTTTGGCTTCTACAGGAGTCTTGGCCTTACTGGCAACAATTTGCTCATAGAGATCTCTTATTTTTAAACCGACAATTGTTTGGAAAAGACCTGTCCCGTTGTTACTTCCAGGGAAATCAGCATGCTTCAACATTTGCTGTGTCACTTCCCCATAGAACTTGGTAGAGATGTTACTTAAATGGCTTTCCACGTAAATCAGCTCATCTAATCTGTCAAATTGCCCATCCATCTCCAGTACAGAGACCTACAGATTTTCCATTTCCAGAAAACAAATATCATAAAATGATAAATATAAAAGAAAAAGCTTGAAGACACATTTTTATGTATTGATATATAATACCTCATGGCCAAAATAAGTGTCAGGAGCATAAGCAAATTTGATGCCAGGGTAAGAGCAGGTGAGCTTCCTCCCACATGGTATCCAAGAAATGGTTGAGCCTTCATCAAACAAGTAAACTGGACTGAAATATTTAACCCCTTCTTTCATTATCAATCGCACTCTTAAAACCTTCCCTTCATTGTCATCTGGAATCAGTTGGGTTGGCAAAACTTCTATTACAGCATCAGCGTATTGCTTTTGTGGATCTGCATTTCAGTTTTACATTTATGTTTTCAGAATTCGAATTAACCCATATTTATGTATTTCTCAGGAAACAAACAAAACACATATATACCAATATAAGCATCAAAGTCGGGCTTTCGAGCTTCGATACTAGCTTTAATGCTTTCAAGACTGTGTCCTCTTTCTGCCATGTCCCTCTGCAGCAATTAATTTTTAATTTTGATCACTATAAATATGATTGATCTGCAAAATTCCCTCAAATTTCAAGTATTTATTTCTTGTTTTTCACCTGAATTTTCCATGCAAATTTAACCTCATTGCTGATGTCCAAGTAGATGCTGAAGTCTAAGAGGTCCCTAACACGTTGATCATACCTACATAAATTGCATACATATTAAGTATAATTAAGCTTTTTGGTAAACTAAAATTTACTTATTCCATAAAAGAAAGGGGTGGACTTACATTGGGTGAAGACCTTCAATAACAAGAATCTTAGGAGGCTTGATGAGCTCAGGAGGATCCAAGAGACCAGTAACATGATTGTAGATGGGTTTCTCAACAGGAATTCCTTCTTTGATAGCCTTAACCTGTTCATACATAAGATCAAAATCGTTGGCTCTTGGGTCAAGTGCTGTGACTCCTTTTTCCTTCCTTCCAGTTCTATCAAGTGAGTGATAATCATCTAAACAAATAACAGTAGTTGTGTCACTTATAAGTGTGTTTGAGTCAGGATTCCCTCCTTTTGGTGGCTCTGCTGCTCCTCCAAATACACTTGTCAATCTTCTCATGAAAGTACTCTTTCCACATCCAGAATCTGCTGCTAAACCAATCACCACTGTCTCTGAACCTTCTGATGAGCAGCTTATGAAGCTACTGCTACCTCTTTTGCTATTTCTCTTCCCACAACTACTATTTAGAAACACAACATGTTTCTGGTTAAAACCCAAGTGGGTTTTTCCTGGTGTGGAGATGGTGCATGTTGAGTTCAGGGATTGGGTAGTGTAGACTGTGCAAATTGCCATTTTTTCCCTGAACTTCAGCTACTACTTCCTCTGTATATGAAGAAGATAGACCAGAACTTGCAATGTAACTCTAAATGAATGAATGAGATTTAATGACACATTTTTCCTTCTTCTAATACCAAAAGTTTTTATGTAAAAACAGATGGCAGTTTGTATGGGAAAGAAAACAGGTGCTGATGTGTGTTTGTTTGTATTTTGTTTATGGGTTTCTGTCACTACCCCTTGTTTTGGACAAATTTGAAGGTAATATTTAGGTAGAATTGCAAAGGGCATGGATAGTCATATCTCTATTACGGGTGGACTAAATTGTAATTTTGCATTTTTCCTTCAAACGGTATGTGTTCTATGAGATGGAATTGTTGATGAGATGATGGCATTTGTGATAGGCGGAGGCATGGAGAAGCTTTGGTGGTCATTTCTTGCTGTTTGGATATTTTTTTTTTAATCCACGTGGCGTCAACTTAGTGGCTATTTTAAGATGAGGGGTTTGGGGTGAGGAGTGCATCGCTTTTTTAGTCACTGCACTCTCTTCTCTTCAATCTATAATTTTCATTTCAGATATAACATTTAATTGCAGCCTCTATTTCTTTTTTCAATCAATATTTTATGTTTTGTTCATTAAATAATTTTAAAAATAAAAGAATTAATTGCTTTTATATATTTCAAATACATTAACCATTTTAATTTAAATATGATTGTGTGCCTCTCACGTGACACCTCATGCATTTTTTTTTGTCATCAGGTATTATATACAATGAATATTATATAATAAATAATAAATTGATCTGTAAGTTATAGTCAAATTAATATATGAGGATCTCAATTTTTAAAAATTGAAACGTTCAAAAATTTATTTTTAAAGGTTTTTCATTTAAAAATTGAAGTATTAAATCTAACTAATGATATTATAGACATTATTATATTTAAAATAAATAAATTAATACCTTTTGAAATTATTTAACAAATTTTAAGATAAATATATTTTATATTTGTTAAATCAAACCCTTAAATCAATTTAAACTCATTAAAATTTTCAAACCAAGGAGGAAACCAATTAAATCAAACAAAAACTCATGTTTTGTTCCAAACTAGACCCAAATCAACCCAAAACAGCCTTAGACCAATTAGAAGGCTCTTGAAATTCCGAAATTCCCAAAAAATCCCCATCTCCTCTCTTCTCTCCCCGATTCGCCGATTGTCCCTATCCCTCCCCTTTTTTGCGATTCCCGTTCACCGGAGCTCAAGCTCCGCCGACTTGACTACCCTCACCTCGCTATCGATGGCTCTGGCCACCGCTCTCTATTTTCTATCAGTCGTAGCGCAGACGAGAGAGAAGAAAAGGTTGTGTAATAGCCGATTCAAGCTCCTGCGAGTTTTGGCCATTGGAGCTCGAGTTGTGCAGACCAGAGCTTCTCCCTGCCGCTGTCGCCTCACCGTCGTTTCCCCTTCTCTGTTTCTGTTTCTGGTGAGCGCAGCAATCGCAGATGAAGTTGTGATTTCTTTTCTTCTCGATCGATAGCAGTGCTTCTCTCTCTCATCTCCGGCGACACCAGCCCATAGCCGGCCAACCACATTGTCTCCAGCACACCTCTAATTCCACTGCTCCACCTCCGGCCATCTGTAGCTCATTATTTAGCGAGAAAGAGAAGGGACAATGAGCTACGCTTCATTTTTCCGATCGGCAGCCTCCTTCAGCGCTCCTCTCTTCAATGCTACGGCAAGACCAGCCAAAGACTGGCCGATTAAGCCCTTCCCTTGATGCTAACAGCTTCGCCGGCCACTGTCCTCGTCAGTTCCGGCCAAGTTAGTGTCGACAGTACCGGTTTTGAACAGTGGAGCTATTTCTGGTCATTTTAACTGGAAATATTTAGTTTCTGACACATTCTCTAGCTAGGTAAATTGACTTTTGACCCTTTTTCAGTATATTTTTCATGAATTCTTTGAGTATGGTTATAGAATTTGACGTATTAATTGAATTAATATAGAATAAAACCCTAGATACTGCTATTCATATGAATATTTTAGAAAATTTGAAATAATTTCTGTCTAACTTGAATATAAAACATATTTTTTCGAATATATTAGTATGATTAAGGTAATCTTAGTTTAAGAATGAGTGTAGCGTGATTATAACAACAAATATTTTTGCTAATACTTGAGCTATTGGAGAGATTTATACATCTAGCTATTGTTTAGGTGAATGTGATCAGGAATTTCTAATTTTTGCTCTTTAAATTGATATATAAACTGATGCCTATATTGATGAGTGCATAGCTGATACTCAAAGGGCATTTTGGGTATATACCAAGAAAGGGAAGCCAGCTAAGAGAATCATCCTTGGAATGAAGAAAAGAGCAGTTACACGTCAGCATAGTTTGTTACTAATTCTGTGTATATATAGTGTACGGTTTAATAATTTTTGCTAATACCTTGAGCTATTGGCAGAGATTTATACCATCTAGCTTATTGTTTAGGTGAATGTGATCAGGAATTTTCCCTAATTTTTTTGCTCTTTAAAATGATATATAAACTGATGCCTAATATTGATGAGTGCATAGCTGATACTCAAAGGGCATTTTGGGTATATACCAAGAAAGGGAAGCCAGCTAAGAGAATCATCCTTGGAATGGGGAAGAAAAGAGCAGTTAACACGTCAGCAATAGTTTGTTTACTATTCTGTGTATATATAGTGTACGGTTTAGGGAAATGGGGATAATCTTTTTTTCTGTCATCTATGTAATCAAAGGCTTTTTCTGTCATCTATGTAATCAGCATTCTTGCTGTATCGGGCTCGTCCTGGGGGTTGGTTTAGCCAATCATTTTATCCTTTGTTTTCCTTTATTGCTTTTCCTAAACTCTTGTAATTCAGCAAGTTCAACAATACAAATTAATCCCTCTGTTCCCTACAATTTGTTTCTTCTATTTCCGGTTAAAATATTGATTTCTCTGGTTGGTTAACATTCACTGATTCTCCATCATTGGTCCGACCTGCCGGATTCGAACCAGATGCCCAAGACAAGAATGGATCAAAGAGTAAAAGCCTTGGAGAAGAATTTTGCCGCCCTAACCGAACAAATGCAAAACCAAACCCAGCAATTAGATGCTCTCAAGCTCGACACACAAACCTATTCCCAGAAATCTGACCAAAACTATAACGAGATCAAAAAACTCCTCCTCACTCTACAGGGAAAGGAGCCTATTCAATCTTCAACCTCTACACTACCCACCACAAAAACACCAGCAACACCACAAACCCATTCCAACACGTCTACCCAAAATTCTCCAAACCCACAATCACAGACCCATCAATACGAACGATACCACAAACATAACCCAACCACAAACATAACCCAAAACCCACTACCCGCATTCAGTTTCCATCACAAAAGAACAGACATGCCTACCTTTGATGGAACCGACCCAATTGGGTGGACAGCCAGAGCCAAGCAATTTTTCGAACTCCATTGCATTCCCCCTTCTGAGTAGATAGCTCAGGCATTTATTGGAATGCAAGGCCATCCCCTTCACTGGTTGCGTTTTATACGACATCGGAACCCGGAATTGGATTGGGTCACCATGAAATCTGAGTTGTTTAAACAGTTTGGTGGAGGGATTACAGACCCATATGAGGTTTTAGTCGCAACCAAGCAAGAAGAATCGGTTGTCAACTATATCAACGAATTTGTCTCAAGAGCAGCAGAAACTCCAGACTTCTTAGAGTCGCAGCTTGTCGCCATATTCCTTAATGGTCTCAGTCGCGAAATATGAGTCGGAATCAAACCAAAAAATGCTCCCGATTTTTATACGGTGATGCAAGCCGCGAAAGGAATCAAGATTGAGCTGTCGTTCCATTCTTCAAATCGCCACTCATCTCGCTTCAACTCCGGCGACAACACCTTAAGAGGAGGGTTAAGCCCAAGCCCAAAATCTGTAATTCCACTCTTAACCCGAACCCATCAATCAAACCTAAATCCCCAACCCATAAACCGACCCATCACTATCAACCACCACTAGTATGCACCATAAACCTGACATTGAGAAGACAGCTTTCCGTACACACACCGGGCATTATGAGTTCTTAGTCATGCCATTTGGGCTCACTAATGCCCCGGCCACCTTTCAAGCTGTTATGAACGACATCTTCCGACCTCATCTACGGAAGTTTGTCCTTGTGTTTTTTGATGACATCTTGGTCTATAGCAAGCCTATACAAGCTTGCGGAAGAATCACATAAGCCATTTGAAATAGTATTTCAGGCTCCTACAAAACTTCACTCCTCCACGCTCAATAACAAGAAAAGTGCACCTTTGGCTTGGACCTCTGTTTGAAGTACTGAGGCCAATATAATTTCAGCAGAATGGGGTTTCTATAATGGAATCTAACAAAAGGAGTGACTAGGTTGTAACTTCAAACAAAACCTCCCAACCACAAAAGCGAAGCAGACCCATTCACCGGATCCGACGCATTCATACAAAGCACGAGAGTCGGTGGATTCTTTGGATTTTGACTGGGTAATTTCAGCTCGACGTTTATCGTTGGATCATGGCGGCAGCTTTGCTGGCCTTTGACGGAGGCTACTTACAGAAGGAGCGGGAAAGTTTTGCTTGGGCGAACAAAAAGCATCACGAACTTTGAACAATTAAAAGCAGAGAGCATTCCACCTCTCTCGTCCTAACCTGAGTCCTTGCCTATTGCCCTGATCTCAGCTTTTGTGCCGTGAGAAACGACACTGCATCCCAAGTCCCGGTTATAGGGCTGTTCTTATGCAAACAAAAACAGGACCTATAGCCTACTCTGTGATATGGAGATTCCTGAAGACATATTCCCGTGCTGCCATGTTATGAGAATGAATTGATGGGCACTTAGGTTTTGGCAATCCGTCTCAGTTGCGAGCGCACCTTCTTAAATCTTGCATATGGACATGGAATTCGTGCACTCATCAAAAAGTTAAGCTTGATAGCTATCTTGTGGCCCAAGAGGATATCCTACTCCAGCTCAAACAATACTTGCACGGCAGTGCTAAAATTCATGTGGATATGACCTTTGATGACTGAGTTACCAGTTTCAAACACAAATTCAGCGGCAGCGTATGCGTTTATCAAGGTTGCAAGTTGAAGACATGGAAGTTTGTGCCTTGATCTAGACGCTCAATGGGTAAGATGGGATTTTGAGATACAAGCTGAAA